GGACTTCCAAAGCTGAGTTGTAGAAAAGGAAGGAAGAGAAAAGAAACGTTCCACCATGTTTTTCAAGTAAACTATTGGCTTTTGTTGTTAAATTGTTTATCATTTCTTTTGACTCTCCACCTTTATGTATAAAATGTCTACCTCCCAAATGTAGTCTATCTTTATGTTGTAGACTATATCTTTGGCTAATTCATGTCCAATATATGTTATTATCTCCATCAATGTTACATTAAACGTTGGGCGCTTCTAGGCGTCAGACTTAGCGCCTAGCGCTTAGTCGCTTAAGCGGGCGCCTAAGCGGTTTCTAAGCGTTTTTTTTTCTTTTTTATTTTTTTAATTGTGATACTTGAAGATATATATATAGTTATTATAGTAATATATATATATATATATATATATATATATATATATATATATATATATATATATATAATATACTATATATATATATATATATATATATTAGAGAGAACTTGTGTCACGAGTTCATAGTGGATAGTGAATAGGTCCACAAACTTTATATCCACGTTCTATATTAACTTTATAAAGATAGGTCCCACCTTCATTATCATGCCAAGTATCCCTAGTGAATAGTCATCAAGGGCGACTTAAAAGTTTGGGGATGGATGCTTCCAACTTAAGTGGACACTAAGTTATTGCTCTATACTTATATATATATATATTATATAGATATTTATAATTTATATATATATATATATATATATATATATATATATATATACTCAATCAAAGATGTATAAATACTAAAATACCAACACTATTAACTAAATTGCTTGGTTTACTAATTACAATAGCTCTTTGTATGTTTATACTTCTCAACTCAAATTATAAGTTCATCTCAACAGTGAAAAACTCATTCTCAACTCAAATTACTGTTAACTTATAAGTTACTGTTAAGTTTAAGTTAACAATAAACTTAAACTTAAGTTTACTGTTAAGTTGTTAACTATTGTTAACTTAAGTTTACTGTTTACTTAAACTTAAGTTTATCAACAAAAAAAAATTTAATATTAACTTAAACTTAAACTTAACTTTACTGTTAGCTTAAACTTAAACTTAAGTTTACTGTTAACTTACACTTCTTAAGTTTAAGTTACTGTTGTTAACTAACTAACTTACACTTCTTAAGTTTAAGTTACTGTTGTTAACTAACTTAAATAGATATTTAAGAAGTACTATTTACCTTGTTAGTAGTTACAGAGATCGGGGGAGCTCGGCAATGTTGCAGAAGACGCTAGGCAGAGCGCCTACGCCTAAACTCCTGGGCGTACGTCTAGGCAACGCCTAGGCGTTTGACTATTTTTAAATTATTTAATTATAATAATTGATAAATATATATATTAAATTCATATAAATTTTCAAAAAAAGATAGCAATCTTAGTTCCACAATAAATCATGCATACTTAGATACTAAATAGCCAAAATAATAATTAACAAGGCTAGAGCCTAAGATGTTTTTTATTTTTTATTTTTAATTATAATAATTGATAGTGAATGTCAATGTTATAGAAAGCTTAGATGCCGGACTGGTGTCTAGACGATTTTCTTTCTTCATTTAAGTGGTGGTCGATGAGGTTTTGCTGAAGGTCGGAGGAGGTAGTGGAGGTGTTTATATTTAGAGGTTAATGGAGTTTGGAGGACGTGTAGGCTACAACACATAAAATCACAACCAAAGCCTACAGGGTGCAATCCACGTAAGACAATGCTCTCCTAAACGATAGTAAAATCTAGGTGGGCAGCATAAATATCGCCTAGGCGTTAGGCGCTAGTTAGGCGGCTTAGGTACCGCCTAGGTCTAGGCGTACGCCTAAGCGGACTAGGCGGAGGTTTTTTAAAACAGTGATACTCCATACCATTATTGTTGGGGAGAAAACATAGTGCATGAAAGTTTGAATGATAATACAGAGAGGAAAAATAATTGGACAAGATGTAAAGTGAGGGCCACATTTTGAAAGCATTCAACCATTTTCGTTTTGTGTACCATTTTCTTTAACGTATCCGTGTCAACATATCTTGCCTTTTACTAATTTGACGTGTCCCATGTCCGCCCCCACAGCCGCACCCATATCTGTGCAACCTACGTCAACTTTTTTCTTTATCTTTCTAGCCTGTTGTGAAAGTGCTTAGTCTCCAGTTTGTTCACAGTTTCCTTAAATAGTCAGATGTTGTAACTGATTATACATATCATACACATGTACTATAGTAGCATTTGTCCCTTACCTATATCTAATACCAAACACATGAAAGACATACTCTCTATGAATTAAGGGGGACATGAAGGTAAAAAGCTAGAGCAGATTGCAGAAAGGTAGATTAGGGAGTTGGTTAAGAGGAAAAATAGATTCTAGATGGTAAAAGAATTAGGAGGAAATCCCGAAGTCCTAATATGGGAATCCCTGTTTGGAAGATTTTTTTCCAAGGATAGCAAGTTCTCTTCTTTCTATTTTTGAGGATCAATGCTCCCAAATTTCCTATTTTAATTGGCCTCAACATGAAAACAGCCATTCCGTTGAGATCGCGTGAGGGGTTAGAGTTAGAACAAAAAGCTGATGGAGCAAAAGTTTTTCATTAGGAAAATCATATCTCGATAAATAATTAGGGTTAGGGCTAACTGCTTGAGTATCATGAGGAACCATTGGTTGTATAATTGTATTGCCAGTATTCTTCTTTATATTGATGAAATACCACCGGAAACTGCAGCTTCCTATGTTTGTATTACTTGATTTCGACGATGGGCTGATTTTAATGAGTTTTGTTTGCTGCCATTTATGAAAATGGGAGACCCAGATTAGCTTTCATCTGTATTTGTTTTAAAAGGTCTAAAACATAAGCCAAGGTAGAATGAAGAATTTGACACAAATTTTTTGACGTACTTTTCATGACTTAATCTATACTGTGTCTATTTGATGAGTTAGAACTCTTAGTTTGCTTCTGGTTTGCATTCAACTAGAAGAAGATTTTTCCCGTCTGATAAAATAAAATCAATTTGATACTTTAAAACACTATACAAAGCGGTATGCTTTTATGGCAAGTCAAAGGCATATGCTTCTGGCTTTCTTTTCTTAATTGGATGTCCATTTTACCTGTGATCTCAGTATGTTGGGGGCAAGCTTGGGCAATGAAGTTGCTTTTGGAACCAGTCTTCTTTACTTGGCTGGAAATTACCATTACCACCTTGTGAATTGTCATGAATGGCCTTTGTCTTTCAAGAAACCTAACTGCTTCTTTTTCTGTTATGCCTTTGACATGTAGGATTGGGATCGGCAGAATCCAACACAAATCCTGACAGAGATGTGTGGCTTTGTAACAATTCTTTCTGGAACCTTTCTTCTTCACAGGACAAAGGACATGGTTGATTGTATGTCTCCCCATGCTCTAGCACTAATGTATTTTTGAGATCATACTGATTCCGAGGTGATACAATATATTTACTATTCTCTTCATTCTTAGGTAATTCACCCTCTATCTCATCACGGCTTCCAAAGCATGAAGATGAGGATGGAATTCCTCTGAAATCTCCAGAATCATTCAGACTGCCATAACGCATTTCAAGATCTGTTCGGTTTTATCACAAGTTTTTTTTACAGAGGCATTCCATCACTCTTCTCTTTTGTTATGTGAACAGCTGACAATTCTTTTCTGGAGATACAGGGAATTGCAATTGGTTCTTTGAATTATCTGACGAGGAGGCTCTGTTTCCCTTCCACACGGAGATTGTAAAGGAATGTATGAGGAACACAATTTTATAGTCTCTGTATTTTTTTTACATGTTTATCAAAATTTTCATTTATTTTAATCTTATACTGTGATTTTAACTTGGCTGATCCATGGGGAACAAAAAGAGCATCTCAGTATTTCTAAGGGAACTAGACGCTAGATCTTTAGCCATTTTACAGTCTGGCGCTTTGTACTTTGTAGCCAAATTTATTTAGTATCGTCTTCTTTAGCTCTGAAAGGCATCTAGAGAAGAATTCTGCAATTCGTCTCTCTTTATCTATGGACATCATTGTTAATTGGTTCGAAGCGGATGCTAGCAGCTGCACATTGTAAGAAAATGTACAAGGAACATTGTTATATAGTCTGTACTTTTAATTGTTGAACGAAAAGTTCATCTGTTTCAATCTTTGTTTTGTGATTTGAATTTGTCTGATCATCAAAAGACCCATCTGAGGTACTACTTGATGGAGAAGCCTGCGTGTTGGAACTCTCTTTATTTATGGATACTTTTAACCGGTTCGAACCTGTTTTTAGCAGCTGGATGCTGGTTTGTTCTCTGTTGCTTTCACAGTAAATTCATCATTTGACGTCTTCAAGATATCTTCGGCGGCAAATCATGGGGACAAAGTTCAGGTTCCTTCTGTCTGGTAACTGCTGAGGATCGAAGTTATAGCTGATTCTTCAGTTTTTCATGTAAACAGACCCAACTCACAAAGTTGGGGTTTACTATTTACTATTCCCTTCAGTAGAAGACAATGGAGCACGGAAGGAGAACACGCCTGTTTCCATTTTAAATCAGCGCAAATATGAAATCAATACAAACAGAAAGAATTGACACAGCCAATCATAAATTATTACTCATCAATTTTTAATAAGGGCAAATACGAAATCAATACAAATACACAATATTAACATAACACAATTATAAGTTAGTGGCAACACACTAATAAATATATAGTAGTACCATATTCCCAATAACAAAGAACAAACGTCGTAATTTTTGCAAAAAAAAAAAAAAAAATTCCGATATCAAGATCAATAACAAAGAACAAACGTCGTAATTTTTGCAAAAAAAAAAAAAAAAATTCCGATATCAAGATTAACACGAGACGGGGTTTCCGGGAGTCCACGACTATGAACTTCCCAAATCTTCAGAAGTGCAGCGTTGGAACCCAGAATATTCAAGGCAAGTACTGATATCGATTAAGACTGTTGCTCATCTTACTGGAATAAGTTTGGAAATTCATTGTTTTCTGCCTGATGACAACATGGATCTCCTTATAAAAACAGAAAACATTCAACATATTTCTTGAACTGTTCTTGCCGTAAAAATTTCCTAACGTGACAAGCTCCATCACTGAACAAATTTCTATTCTGGATACTGAAAAACACGAATTTCGCAACAAGCAAGGAGGTTTGCCGGGTTTAATTTTAGGCAAAAAATAACTCGCATCTTAGTATTTCAAATATGTAACAACATTAGTAGTTGAAAACTAAAACTAGCATAAGCTGAAAGTATCTTTATTTTCTCCATTTGTTGTTTTTGAGGAGAAAAAAGATCCTGGTCCGTTCTTGAATCTAGGATCTCTATTTACTTAAAAAAAAAAAAGGTAGATAAAAGAGAGGACAACTTCTGAAATGAGGGAAGTTCGTGATAACATTGCTCGCTTATTATGGGGGTCAATGTGATAATTGCCTACAGTATTAGATGTCGTATTTACTGTTTTCTTTCAATTGACCTCTCAATGTTTGTGTATTTTTCATAATGTTTTCCCTTATTATGTGATGATGGTTATTGTTTTTATCACGTGCATTGCATGTGCAATCTAACTAGTAAATAAATAAATAAATGAGTGTTGAGTAATTCTAATTTTATATCAATAATATTGCATGTCCTTTTTAGTCATTTACAAATTTAAGCTAGTTATACAACTACTTTTGCCAAACAACTCTACTTTAATCAGCTAGCTACACAGCTATAAGCTTTCAGCTACAATTTCACAGCTTTCAGCTAGCTTAACAGCTTTCAGCTATAATCTCGTAGCTTTCAGCTAGTTTTGCCAAACAGAGCCTAACTACAAAGGCGAACCTAATGTTGCGTTGAGCAACTCTTCAATAAAGAGACAAATTATTATAATTCCATGTACAATTGGTAAGATAGTACTGAAAAAAATAATGCACTTGTATCCGCTAGCATGGCATTTACATACAAGTCTCTATCTACAGAGCAGCGCCTCAAAGAACTCTTTCTGGAAATATCAAAAGAGACGAAACAAATCACAAAGATAGCAGTTACGCTAGAGCTTGTTCATACCAAAAATAAAATACACAAAAAGGACTAGTAAAAGATGTAAATAAAATAAAACATCCACATCCCTAGTTCCCACACAATGTTAATCTGCTTAAAGAAATTTTTACTTTACAATAATGTGTAGTCCAGAAGAAAATTTCTTTTTTAATCCTTTTAAAGGGTAAAAGTTTGAAATCCATGAAAGACCTGTTCGCTTTTGGTCAGCAGAAATTGTTTTTAATGAAGTAGATAACAAGCATACCTTCCACGGATAAACACAGATACTATATTCTGAAAAAACATAGGTTTTGTAGATGACATTAATGAAAATCTATCTGGTTTCATATAGAAGACAAAATTTCCCTCTAATAAACATGACAATAGATTAAATCAGCATCAATAATATATATAGAAGACTGAACAAATGCGTAACCTATCGTCGCATAACTTTTACGCCAAACCAACTCCTTGCCATCTTCTCCGCATATATATATACTCCCTCTCAAGCTGCCCAAATTCCTACAACAAAATAACAACCATTTTCTCATAAAATGGCTTCCTCTGCTTGGATTCTATTTGCATTCTTGGCTTTCTTGAGCCTCATGAACGATGCTCGTCTCTTTTGCAAGGGTGATCCTACTGATGGGTTTACAGCAGTTCCGCTGACACAACGCAACTTTGAACTACAATGGCCGTATAATCTGCCTCTAAACGATCGGTACAGTGACACTGATGGCGTTCGCAAGTTTTGGGTGTACTCCACAGACAAACCCCTTCGGCCAGACAGTGCAACAAAACCGCGGAGCGAGCTTCGTATTAAAGTAGTATCCTAATTAATGTTCTTCCTGTAAACTAGCACCTTAATTGCATCAGTTCTATAATAGCATACTAATGTTCTTTCTGTTTTGGACTTGCTGATCCCGTAGCTTTGTTGTTGCAGATAGATCCCCTGGGTTAATATTTTCTTTCTTTCTTTCTTTCGACTCTTTTACCTCCGGGTGAAATTAGTCAGTCCATCCAAGGGTGAGAATCAAAAAATTTAACCCAGTGGGTCTGTCTGCAACAACAAAACTATGGAGGTAGTACATACAGAAAAGCGATAGTACTGCAGAGGGTCTCTGTGCAATTAAACGTAAACTTTATGTATCCTGATTAGTAGTAATGCCACTAGGTGACAACTCATATTCCAAAACATGCATGATGCAGGGATATGACTACTCATCTGGAGTGTGGCAGTTTGAAGGCTATGCTTATGTGCCGAAAGGCACCACTGGAACTTCAATCATGCAGATCCACAGATTCTCAGGACCAGCCACAATATTGATGCTGAAGGTCTACGATGGCCAGTTGAAGTTTTACACAAGAGCTGTAGTCGAATCCGACATCTATGACCGTTGGATGAGGATTAATGTGATACATGATGTGGATGCAAATAAGCTAACGGTGTTTGTTGATGGGGTTCAAAAGTTTGAGACGCGAGGAAACGGGAAAGGATCCTTTGATTTCAAGTGTGGGGTGTACACCCAGACTGAGCCAAGCCACTACATGGAATCGAGGTGGAGGAACGTCACGGTCTTGAAGAAGCAAGGGTGAAATTGTGCGAGTTTGAGCATTCAAGTAGCTATCCTATAATTATGTTCGTAATTTCAGTGGTATCATGTTTGTCCTCAAGGGTGTCCCTTGATGACTGGTAGGAAGTCATTTACTAAGATCAAAGATTGAAGAGTCTAGTCTATTATGATGCAATTAAAGTGGCTAAGATTCGTTGGATCAAAAGTTGTATGTGAAGCGAGTGCAGCCTAGCCATTTGGTTTGAACTCGTATCGATATTGCCTTAGGTTTTCTAAAATATCTTCCACAAGTTGCACTGCGTTGGGGTTTTAGCTTATAATTTCTATGTTTTGCTGATAATACAAAAGGCTTCTGGAACTATACGCTTCTGAATAAACCTTCGAATCTCTGTACGTAACATACTTTAGGAAGAAAATAGCATAATTTATTTGTTTTTCTTTTCTCGTTCTTCTCTCATCCTAATAATTATTTTTTCTCTTAAATTTCTTAAAGCACAAATCAGTTTGTTCCTTGGTGGAGTAATTAATCAACTTCATGTCATATGAGTAGGGTGACAGTTTTTTTGGGCTAACATCCAGGGAATTAAACTTGACTCTTAAGTACCTGCATATGCAAGAAAGCAAAGTGATTCAATAATAAAGGTTTTATTGAGCATGTAAGCAATTTCTCACATATTTTTCATAGAGATCTCACGCAGGAATCTAACGTATAACCTGTCAGCCGAAAGATGCCTAATAAAGCCAAGACCAGCCGCCCACATGCAGCAGCAGTTTTTAACTTTGGATAAAGGAGTGGACCTCATATCATTATTATAATAAATGCATAGTAATTTATTATTATTTTATTATGCATAATATTTTTCAAAACACTATAAATAGGCTCCAAATCCTTAAGAAAAATTCATCCCAGAAACAACTTCTCTTAGAAGAGTGAGAGAGAAAAAATAGAGAGAGGGTATCTCCTTGTAAAGAGAGATTGTAACTCCAGATCAGTTTTCTTCTCATAGTGGATTCTGTTGGGAATTTAACGCCTAAATCCCCTAATGCAACAGAAACGCAGTATAGAAAAAGTACACCAAGATTTACGAGGTTCGGCAACTACCTACGTCATCGGGAGCCACACAGATAATTTCTTATTAATCAAACAAGAAATTACAATTTAGGAGCGTATCTCAAAACTGAGATTTCTCTGATAAACACTGTAGCTACAGTGTTAATAATCAAAGGGTATGAACCCTTTCAATTCTCACTTGAGAATAAATGAATAACCCCACAATAAATACCCTCTTTAATCCTCTTTAATGATCTCTCTCTCCTCTTAAATCCCCTTCTCTTAATCTCCCCTTAAGATTCTCAAATCCTAAGCGCTGGAGAAAGAGGGAAAACGCAGCTGCGTTTTTAGGGTTCCGCCGCCAGAGGAACAATCGGAGGAGGGGAAGAAATCAGCAGCGCAGCAACGAAACCCTAGGGGCCTTTTTATAGGCGAGGTGGATGAGCTGGCGACAGCCTATCGCCAGCGGCCCACGGACGCAAAGGTGGGGGCAAACGCCGAGGTGGGGTCGAACGCAGAGTTGGGGGTCGAACGCAGAGCTGGGGTCGAACGCAGAGCTCGGGGAGGCGATCGCACGCGGGGCTCACGTTCGTCGTCGACTTCGCCCGAAGTTCGTTGCCCACGCACGCCTGCAACATCCATGAGCTCGCCGGAGCTCTTCGTCGCCTGAGGTGAGTTTGATCTACACCTTTTTCAACACTTTCCTAACCATGTTAACAAGAGACTTTACCGAAAAAGTATCAATGAGGATGAAGAGAGGACCATAGCCGTTATTCAACGCAGACACTGATACATTGACCTATGGGCCAAATCCAACCTCAAGTTCATGACTTGAGAAATATCAGATTTCTATAGTCAAACGGAAACGGTACATAATAAATCAAGTGTTCTGCTAAAACAGCAGAGATATACAAGATAGAAGTTACAGCCAGAATCAAAAAACCAAAAAAAAGGTTCAAAATAGTCCGAAAAACTCTCTTGCAATTTTTCTTTTTCCATTCAGATTTCCAGCATCTCGTAGAGCTCCACTGCACCCCTGATGTTCCTGTCCAGCCCAAAAGAGTTAATTATATCTGAGAACAGTGAACATTTTTTAACATGATGATCAATTTCTTCCGACCCCTCAAAAAGATGGATCTGGATTCAATGCACAGTATCAAAGTGTACTGACTAAACCTATGAGAACCAATCAAATTGGCAATGGTCTAATCTTCAATGAGAACCATGTAAACGTTACACCAACCAAGGACTAGGACTTTTCGCTGAATAATGGAAGATATATAGGTGTCAATATTAATAAGATAAAAGAACATTCAGAGTTCCTAATATAATTATGCACATTGTAATTAATTGCAAATCATTAGATATCACAGAAAGAGGGAATGTATGAAGATTCTCTTTGTCGTTCTCATTCTTAACAAGATATAGCCCTTCGTCTTACTAGTAGCAATCTTGTATATATGCAAATAGTCCAAGCAAAGGTAAGAGAAAATCTTACACGCAACACCCCTAACTCACTTAAAATAAATGTTGAATTACTTTCAGTTTTGTAGAACGTAAAATGACCAAGTTTAAAGTTTCTTTACAATCTAGACGACGAGGATCAAGCACAAGTACAAGTAAGTTACTTTAATATTTAGTACTGCAAATAATAGCATCGCTTGATTGTATAAAGAAGCAATTAGGTACACCAGGGTGAAAACTAGTACAGCACTGAAATGAATCTGTGCTTTAGTTCCCATATATAGTACAGAATAGCATAACAACAATCATATATTAAAATAATATGTATAAGGTGACAGATAATTATGTTAAACGAGCTATCAAGGTAGAGCCACGTGATGAGGTCCATTTTAAAAGTTACGTCAAAATGTGCAGACCTAACACCGTTATCTTTTGCTAGCTCATTTTACTAAACGAGCTGCTACCTCATAACCATCAAACCTGATATCAGTATTTTAAAAAAAAGTAACATAAGCTGACCTATGGGGGCTTAAACTTGGCATGAGCAGGCAAACTAGGCGTCTAGACCGCCTAGCCAGTACCTGCTCATGCCAAATTTAAGCGCCTGGAGGTCCACTTATGCTGTTTTTTTAAAACATTGGTATCAGGTTCGATGGTAGTGAGGTGACGGCTCATTTAGCAAAATGAGCTAGTAAGAGATAAAAATGTGAGGTTTACAACTACTGATGTGACTTTTAAAATGGACCTCATGACGCGGGTTATATCTTAATAGCTCATTTAATGAAACGAGCGTCCACATCACACCTATTATTTCATGTATGATTCTTGTTCCGTTTCTTCGGGCTAGGCATAGGAACTAAAGCTCAACCTCATTTCGGTGTACTAGTTCACCCAGGTGTACTTAATTTGCTTCTTCATACAATCAGTGATGCTATTATCTGCGATATTAGATATGAAAGATGTTGGAGCCCAAAAACGGCCCAAAATCAAATAGTGGAGGCGAAAGTCGGCCCAAACCCTCAGCCCAAACGCCCCATTCTCGTTATTATTCCCCCAAAACCCGATCCCAACCTATCTCCGCCGCCATTGTCACCTTCTCCCGCCGCCGCCGATCAAACCCACCAAGCTCGCCATCGCCAATCTCCACCTCCGACCAAGCCCAAGGTGACAAATTTCTCTCTTTTTTTATTTATTTCTAATTTCAACTATATATTCTTGATTATTAGGTTGTTTATAGCTCAATGTTCTCTTATAATTGTTTTTTAACAGTGAATTATTAGTTAGTTACTTGATAAGTTTACTTAATCAATTGAGTGTTATATTATTATCAATTTAATTGAGACGAACAAAAGCTATTGTTAAGTGTTACATTAAGTAATGAAGTAACAATAACAGTCAAGTCAGTTATGCAATTAAATTGAGTTGAATTAGTTGTCCACAATAGCATACTAGCAATGATCTTGCTCGCTGTCACTGTAATTTATTTTTGACTTTTTTTTTACTGTTTTGTTTAAAAGTCACTTATGAAGTTTCATTTTTTGTTAATTAGAGTGAGTTTGTTAACAGTTCTTAGTTTGTTGATGTGCCCCCCTTTGTCTGTGGCCTTTACAACACTATTTTCTCTCCTTTTTATCAATTGTTGTACTTAAATAATAAAAAAAGGAAAACGCCTAGGCCCCTAGGCGCTAGGCCACGGGTCAAGCGTCTGGTCCGCCTAACTCTTTCTGTAACATTGCTTGTTATACTCTCAAGGAGTTCACTTTTTGTCATGTATATGTTGAAACTTGAAAGCAATAAATTAAAAAACTTGGCTTTGCATGGTAATAAACAAGGAGATACTCTACAACTAAGAAAGCTTAATTTGATAATGTACATACATATATCAAGCAACATACGATTTCCTTGGTTTCAGAATCTAATTTGATATTGTACATATGTCTGTTACAAGATTTTTTTCACTGAGCGAGAAAAGGAAAAAAAAATATTACCGAAACAAATTATGGTTTAGTATGTAAATGCTCATCACGCGCAACTAGTGCTTTAAATACTTCATATAAAACTAAACGAAAGGTAAGGTAATTCGATAATTGAGATTGTCTACAAACTTATTTCTATAAAATATCATAGGCTGTTTATTCCACATCTTGTACCATGTTTATGTGTAAGTTTGTTGGCAAGTCAATAATAGTTGTCACTGGTTGTTGATGCCAGCAATCCTCCCTTATTTTGTCGAGTTTTTCATAGTAAGTTATAGCCAATCTTATTTGACACCCTCAATTGCATTGTTTTGTTGAATAAGATATAATCTATTGAACTTGGTCCAAGGTTCATGTAATCTAGCACCTACCCAGTGTCAGTTGTTCTGCTAAAGAATGTTGAAGAAAATCTTGCAATAGATGTATGTTCAATGTCAAATTAGATTCTGAAACGAAAGCAATCATATTTTGCTCGATATGTGTATGAACAGTTTCAAATTAAGCTTTCTTAGCTGTAGAGTATCTCCTTGTTTATGTCCATGCAAAGCCAGGTTTTTTAATTCGTTGCTTTCAAGTCTCAACATATACATGATAAAAAGTGAACTCCTTGAGATTATATCAGGTTCAATGGTTATGAGGTAGCAGCTCATCTAGCAAAATGAGCTAACAAGAGATACAAGTGTGAGGTTCACACCTTTTGATGTGACTTTTAGGATGAACTCGTCACGTAGCTGTATCTTAATAGCTCACTTACAAATGAGCCATCACCTCATACTGTTATTTCCATGTATAATTCTTGTTCTTTTTCTCCAGACTATGTATAGGAACTA